AACACCAATATTTAGAATATACGTTTGTCCTTGTACCTTGATGTACAGATCTGCTGTTGGATATGATCTCTCATCTCCATGAATGCAGTGAACAGGGATTGTCTCCACATTAACTTTATTTGCGGGAACAAAGTCTCGGTGCACAAGAGTCTGAGTACTTCCTGAGTCAACAAGGGCCTTTAATGGTTTCCCATCAACCTCAACTAAGGTCATTTTGAAACCATTCTCAAACTCCACTTTAGGCTCCACACTTTGTCGGGGCACAAAACACATCTGAGTTATTTTTGTAGAATCCTTTGGGCACATAGGTTTTGTGTGGCCCTCCATCCCACACAAATAACAAATCACAGTCTTGGGTGGAGGTCTTGACGGCATATTGACAGACTGGCTCTTTGGAGGTTTACTCACCCCTGCTTTCTGGTAGTGAGGGACAGATTTTGAACCATCTCTCATTTTCCATGCTGTGGCTCCATGGCTGTCCTTTTTTCCGTGCCGCCACAAACACATCAGCCAGCTCTGCAGCCGCCGCTGCAGAGTTTGGATTGCGTTCTTTAATCCATGTCTGTAACTCAGGAGACAGCATTCTCAAGTATTGTTCTAAAATTAATATTTCACTAACCTCATGCACCGTTTTTCCTTTTGGCTTCTCTATGTCTCTAACTGTCCTCTATGTCTGCAATGTTGCCTTCTGGTAGTTCAATCCTCTCAGTTCTGACTACCTTCCCTCTCTTTGTTACCATTCAACTACACTTCTCCAGTCCGAACGACATTCCAATGTCATTGCTGTATAGCCTGGTAGTGTGGATCAGTGAATCGATGTCTCGTTCACTCTTGGCATACAGCTTGATGTCATCCATGTACAGGAGGTGGCTGACAACTGTTCCGTTCCGTAGCCAGTATCCGTAGCCAGTCTTGTTAATGATCTCACTGAGGGGGTTCATGCCTATGCAGAACAGCAGTGGGGACAGAGCATCTCCTTGGTAGATCCCGCACTTGATGGTGGCTTGTGCTATGGGCTTGGAGTTGGCCTCTAGTGTTGTACGCCTCTAGTGTTGTACGCCACATCCCCATTACACACACACACACACACACACACACACACACACACACATATATATATATATATATATATATATATATATATATGTATATATATATATATATGTGTGTGTGTGTGTATATATATATGTGTGTGTATATATATACACACATATACGTGTATATATATATATATGTATATATATATATATATATATATATATGTATGTATATATATATATATATATATATATATATATATATATATATATATATATATATATATATGTACATTGGGTGAGTGTGCAGTAGTAGCAGCAAGCAGGTGAATTCTGTGCATTAATATGAATAGACATCTGACTATTTTACAGGATAGACAATATAAACATATTTAAAATTAAAGGAATTGAAATGTACATTGTGCCTTGGTTTAGTGTCTGGAAGCGTCCTGTCTCAGTCAATTATAGATGATCTGAGAGGGCGGGTGTGTGTGTTTAGGGCACGGATGGCTTGGGGATAGAAGCTCCTCTTGAGTCTCTCTGTCCTTGCCCGGAAGATGCGGAACCTTCTACCAGATTGCAGAAGTTGGAACAGTTTGTATATATTGAGTTCATAAATTAAGACTTTAGCTTCTGTGTATATGTTGACTCGCATACTCACATTCTAAAATACGTTATTGTGCATGAAGACTAAATATCTCATGTGGAGTAGTTTGCATTAAAACCATGCAAACTTTTTCATGGCTATAATATTGAATTAAATGTGTAGTAGTAGTATTTATTTATTGTCATTGTCAAGAACAATGAAATTGCGTTTGGGGCTTCCATACAACCCAAAAAAAGAAGAAAATAATAAATACCCCTTAAAACCCAGCCTAATCACATTTAATGCCTAATCACATTTAACAACAACAGAATTAAATGTGATTAGGCATTTTCCTACTCCTCTTTGAGTAGGAAATTGGAAAAATCCTCCTCAGTATCTCACTCTTTTCTTTCCACTAGGTGGAAACTCTGATGTTTTTAGAAAATAAAAGAGGACTAAAAGTTAGAAAGCAATCACTTTCCACTTTTGAGTTGAACTCCTGTATACAATCACAATTAATGTCTTTTAATAAGACTCATATTTCTGATTTCCTTTCTACTTTGTCCTTTGTTCCTTTCATTGCACTCAAAGCTGCAGCACTCCCACTGGTAAAATATGAGTGCACAGTTTCTCATGGGTTTGAATTTGGGAGGCAGTGTAAACAGAGCTTGTTGACTGTTAAGCAAAGAGAAAGAATACTAAGTTGTTTAAAATTCAGATGGTGAGGATTTTTGCTAAATGCTGTAAACTGCTGAAAAAAAGTCAAATCAAAGTCCTTGTGTGTTTTTTGTGTGCCAGAATCAGTGTCAGAACCTGCCTTCAGGTTAAATTAGGAAACAGACAATTTTCAATTGTGAATATGATTAATTTTTCTTTCTTTTTTTTTTCTTTTTTTTTTTTTTACATTGAAATAGTGTTAGCAGATCATTAATGACTTGTTTAGCCAGCAGTTCTGTACTTTCGTTAAAACCTTTTCAAGACAAATTAGGTTAGAGATGCAGGGGCAAAAAGTGAAAAGAAGATAAACAATGTCATTAATTTATAATACTAGTACATCAATGTATGCTATTGTTCAGCCTATTCCTGCTACTGGCTGGGTGACATGATGATATGATAATATGTGATACAGATAACCTTCCAAAGCTTAAGCTGTCTGCCCTTTGTGGCTGCTTGACTTGTGGTCTTATAGTAGTAGTTGGCAGACAATGAAACAAATACAGGCACAGAATTTTGTATGTTATATTGAAGTAATATTTATTTGTCCAAGTGACAAAATTTTAAAGAATCAGCCTCATACAAACTGTCTTTTGTACAAGACTGTAAACAATAGTTGCTGTAAATATGGATATTTTAAAATAGAAATCTGTACGGATTGATTTTTGTAGCCAGTTTGAAGCGGCATTATTAGAAATGCAGGTTGCTGGTTGACGTTGTCAGGAAACGTTGTGTGGCAGGCACAACAGGAAAAATGGGTAACAATGGGAAACTAGAAATATGGATAAACTCAAGATCGTAAGAAATCTGAACTAGGAAACATAAGATACAGAGAGAACATAAAGACAAATAAAGATTCAAAAAACCATTAATTCAAAACACTGGGTCAACAGACCACGTACCCTAACAGATGTGAGTGTGACTGACTGTCTGTTTCTCCCTATGGGAGAGCCTCTTGATCTCCATTATACGCTGGGATTAAGATAGGTTAAAAGCAAAAAAAAAAATACATGTGTTGAAAACTGTGTTAAACAAAACCTTTTTTTTCCCCTTTGGCCTAATGCATGTAAATGTACTCATATTAATTTAGTACTTTTATAGTTTGAGCCCTCTAAGTAGATAATACTACCCACTCACGCATGTATTCATAAAATTCTTGGCAGTAAATTACTTTAATTGCTTGAGGGGAAGCTACAGTGGAAGCGTGTCTATCATGCTGTTTTTGAGGATTCTTTAGAAAAGTTTAGTCATATGTCTGCACTAGAATCTGGTTGAGGAAGTTTACTTTCTGTGGCCATTATTGATTAAACCCATACTTTAAAATTAGTGCATCATATTAAATCAATGCTACAAGGGTTTTTATTGTATGTTTTCTGTGTACATTGCATAAAAAATGTGCATTTTATTTGATTATACACTGTGCCATATATGCGCCAACACTGGAGAACATGCACCCCATGCTTTTCTATTGCTCTTTTCCTCTATAGTGCCATAAATGCCCCAAGGATGCCATTGACCCTACTGCTGCCACTGAAGTGGAAGTGACTGATGGTGCAACAAAAACTGTGACAGCGTAAATGGAGCTGATTCGTTCAGTTGCAAAGCAGTGAGCTCCTGTTACACTGCCACCATTCAAAACACTTAAAATGTTGAATTTCCAGCTCTAGAGTGCAGAACTGAGGCTACTGAAAGTTAAAACTCCCAACTCACATGATGGACAATTGGCAGCCCAAAGCAGTTTGCACATTTTCTTTTTTTAACCATTAAGTCACTTACTTCATATGGCTTTGGCCTTTGTACATTCTCAGCAGGATTGAAACACCTATTATGAAAATACAGCAGATGTGTCATTCCGTGGAAACATTCAAACATCAGTCATCAGCTCCTGTATCAAAGCAGTATTCTTTGACTGCGGAAAGCATTCGGTTGTAATTGCAACCGACCACAACGATCCAGTTTCAGCCCATTATTTCAATCAGTTTTGAATATCACAAAGTGTGTGGGTAGATCAACAAAAGAAACCTGACGCTGCACAGTAAGTGCATTTGCATATTGAAAATAAGTCTTGTTCTAAGCTTACATAATTTCTGAGAACATAATTGCTATTCCAATTTCAGCGTGTCGCATCAGAATATTACTTCACAATTACATGATAAAATGCACATTAGAAATTGTGTTTCTAGTTTTTTTCTGTTTCTATGTTATGACTGGTTGCCTGTCTCTCTGTATGGGGGACCTCTCTACTACTTTTTAAAAGTAATACAGTGATTCTTAATAAATAAATAAAAAAACAACACATATCGTTTCTATTGAACTTGCTTACTATTATTAGTGTATAATCTAAAAGTAATCGTATTAAATTCAGCTGCACAATCCCCTCTCTCTACACTGTGTCATACCAGAAGTTCAGCTTTTATAAGCATCAGCACATTTTTGAATCATAAATGTAGCATGCAATAGAGTACATGTTTTTAGTTCAAAGAAACAGGGAAAAAATAAATTAATAAATACAAATTTGTCATTTAAAAAAATAAGTCTATACATAGTGGGGAGGGGTTGATCATATAAAGTATGTTTTTGTGATTTCCATGAGTACTCCCTCATGGAAATCACTGAATCTTAAAAATAACCCTACTTTCAGTGTTGTTTTTGTTCCTTCACAGGTGTGCACTCGGGGATGTTGTCACACACACAGCATGGCTTAATCGGTCAAGTATACTGTATGCTGGAGAAGACAAGTGGTCGATTGATCCCAGAGTGAGTTTGGTGACTCTTAATCAAGAGGAGTTCACCATCAAGATTGAAAATGTGGACATGACAGATGAAGGACAGTATGTGTGTGCAATCCAGACAAGCAGTCGACCAAGAACCACCTCAGTTCACATCCTCGTCCAAGGTAATGACGCCAAGATAAAGACAGCTACAGCTGCTGATATGATACTAAATTCAACAATGAGTCCTATGTGAAATTCTAGTAAATTATTGTTTTTTCCGAATGTGCTACAAGCAATGAGTCTCTGGTAATCATAAAAAAAATTTATTTCCTGAACTTATACAGACACCATAACTTATGCCTGCTGCAAATTAGTTTTTTTGTTCATGACTATTGCAATTTTAAGCCATTCTTCCTTGAATGTGACTTCAAGCTAAGATATTTTTAGAACCTCTTGCACACATCCATTTTTTTTGTTTTCTTCTTGTTTTGCTAGTATACTATCTATGACTTCTATCTAAAGCACCAGCATAGCAGAGCTGAAGTGGGAAAAAAAACATATAGAGTCAAAACAGGCCTTCAGTGCCTCTCTTAAATCTCATTTTCTCATTCATCGCTCCACTGGAGCAATGAGATGCCAAATGCCTTGCTCAAGGAATGAGAGGGGAGTGTGTTTCTCATCCGCTATATTAGGTAAGGTTAATGGAGAATACCAGGTGTTAAGATGCTTAGGTTATAATGATGTGTGGAGTTGTGATAGTCTCCTAATGGAATTCAGAACACATTGAGGTGCATTGGATTGTATACACACAGTGCAATGGGGCAGTTTAGAGCTATTTGATATGCAGATATGTAGCATGCATATATGTGTGTATGTGTGCATATATATATATATATATATATATATATATATTAGGGGTGCAACGATACACAAAATTCACGGTTCGGTTCGATACTTTGGTGTCACGGTTCGATATTTTTTCGATACAAAAAAATGTTCATGTCTTTTTAATTTGTCATTTATTAAAATTATAAATATATATTTTAACTCAAAAGTACAGTTTTTAAATTTAACCCTAACCCTTGTGCGCGTTTTTTATTTTGACAGCGAATGCGCACCTGCGGACCACTTATGTGCAGCCCTGGTTATTTAGCTCGTCATATTGCAGCCACAGAAATTCTTTTGTCCATGAAACCATAAAGCTGCACTTTCTTTTTGCCTTATAGTCTGATTTGTCATAACTTCTCCGTTTTGTGGTAAACTTTTCTTTGGCTGTCACTTCTTCACCCCGACCTGTCTTATTTGGCTCAGCAGAACTAAAATATATATACTGCTGCTTTTACACACGCACTCACATAAGCTCAGCGATTCTCTGCGCGATCAACCTCTCACATGTTTAAGCTTGCTGCGGGAGATTTCACTTGTCATATTTGCATAGTAAGCTAACGATTAATAAGACGATGTCAGAGGAATTGGTGCACAAATTATCATCACTCACAGATCAGTGCTGTCGCTCTCTATACACAGTTCGCACGATTGCAAAGTGAAAGCAAAAAAACAAGCGCAAATTCAAACGCGATTTCAATATGTCACATATTGACAGTGGCTCACCGATGCCAATGACATAATTACCCAGCTACATTTCTGAAAGAATGCAAAAGCATTGACATATATTTTTCCTACAATAGCCCGACGGGCAGGGCAGAGATAGATTTTGGTAGCCCGACTGAAAAAAATCGCTAGCTCCGGGACGTCGGGCTAGCGATATTGCGAGCCCTGTATCTGATTGAGGAATCACTCATCTTTGGAAAAGAGAGTTTATTACAGAGAAATGGCTCTTTCCAAAATAAAAGCTATACTATCCGCTTCTTCTGGGCTATATTCTCAGCAGCATAAGGAGAATCATGTGCTAACAGCTGTCTAAATGACTCGGCTAAAGTTAGTAGCATGCTTGCTTTTTTTTGTCTGCTTCCACTTGTCTTTGCACTAGGATGATGTCGGCGTAAATGTGCAGTCATATTCGTTGTGTTCCCACTAGTGCTTTCAGGTTAATCTCATTGAAATGACCTTAACGCCACAACACGGCAAATCTCCGTTAACGAGCTACCGCCGATCGCTCCGTGCATGGGGCTAGACGGCCAACACGTTAACGAGCTAACAACAAGCATGCTACTAACTTTAGCCGAGTCATTTAGACAGCTGTTAGCACATGATTCTCCTTATGCTGCTGAGAATATAGCCCAGAAGAAGTGGATAGTATAGCTTTTATTTTGGAAAGAGATATTTCTCTGTAATAAACTCTCTTTTCCAAAGATGAGTGATTCCTCAATCAGATACAGGGCTCGCAATATCGCTAGCCCGACGTCCCCGGGCTACCAAAATCTATCTCTTCCCTGCCCGTCGGGCTATTGTAGGAAGGAAAAATATATGTCAATGCTTTTGCATTCTTTCAGAAATGTAGCTGGGTAATTACAGTGGGGCAAAAAAGTATTTAGTCAGCCACCGATTGTGCAAGTTCCCCCACCTAAAATTATGACAAAGGTCAGTAATTTGCACCAGAGGTACACTTCAACTGTGAGAGACAGAATGTGAAAAAAAAATCCATGAATCCACATGGTAGGATTTGTAAAGAATTTATTCGTAAATCAGGGTGGAAAATAAGTATTTGGTCAATAACAAAAATACAACTCAATACTTTGTAACATAACCTTTGTTGGCAATAACAGAGGTCAAACGTTTACTATAGGTCTTTACCAGGTTTGCACACACAGTAGCTGGTATTTTGGCCCATTCCTCCATGCAGATCTTCTCGAGAGCAGTGATGTTTTGGGGCTGTCGCCGAGCAACACGGACTTTCAACTCCCGCCGCAGATTTTCTATGGGGTTGAGGTCTGGAGACTGGCTAGGCCACTCCAGGACTTTCAAATGCTTCTTACGGAGCCACTCCTTTGTTGCCCGGGCGGTGTGTTTTGGATCATTGTCATGTTGGAAGACCCAACCTCGTTTCATCTTCAAAGTTCTCACTGATGGAAGGAGGTTTTGGCTCAAAATCTCACGATACATGGCCCCATTCATTCTGTCCTTAACACGGATCAGTCGTCCTGTCCCCTTGGCAGAAAAACAGCCCCATAGCATGATGTTTCCACCCCCATGCTTCACAGTAGGTATGGTGTTCTTGGGATGCAACTCAGTATTCTTCTTCCTCCAAACACGACGAGTTGAGTTTATACCAAAAAGTTCTACTTTGGTTTCATCTGACCACATGACATTCTCCCAATCCTCTGCTGTATCATCCATGTGCTCTCTGGCAAACTTCAGACGGGCCTGGACATGCACTGGCTTCAGCAGCGGAACACGTCTGGCACTGCGGGATTTGATTCCCTGCCGTTGTAGTGTGTTACTGATGGTGACCTTTGTTACTTTGGTCCCAGCTCTCTGCAGGTCATTCACCAGGTCCCCCCGTGTGGTTCTGGGATCTTTGCTCACCGTTCTCATGATCATTTTGACCCCACGGGATGAGATCTTGCGTGGAGCCCCAGATCGAGGGAGATTATCAGTGGTCTTGTATGTCTTCCATTTTCTGATGATTGCTCCCACAGTTGATTTTTTCACACCAAGCTGCTTGCCTATTGTAGATTCACTCTTCCCAGTCTGGTGCAGGTCTACAATACTTTTCCTGGTGTCCTTCGAAAGCTCTTTGGTCTTGGCCATGGCGGAGTTTGGAGTCTGACTGTTTGAGGCTGTGGACAGGTGTCTTTTATACAGATGATGAGTTCAAACAGGTGCCATTCATACAGGTAACGAGTGGGGGACAGAAAAGCGTCTTACAGAAGACGTTACAGGTCTGTGAGAGCCAGAGATTTTCCTTGTTTGAGGTGACCAAATACTTATTTTCCACCCTAATTTACGAATAAATTCTTTACAAATCCTACCATGTGGATTCATGGATTTTTTTTTCACATTCTGTCTCTCACAGTTGAAGTGTACCTCTGGTGCAAATTACTGACCTCTGTCATCATTTTAAGTGGGGGTACTTGCACAATCGGTGGCTGACTAAATACTTTTTTGCCCCACTGTATGTCATTGGCATCGGTGAGCCACTGTCAATATGTGACATATTGAAATCGCGTTTGAATTTGCGCTTGTTTTTTTGCTTTCACTTTGCAATCGTGCGAACTCTGTATAGAGAGCGACAGCACTGATCTGTGAGTGATGATAATTTGTGCACCAATTCCTCTGACATTGTCTTATTAATCGTTAGCTTACTATGCAAACATGACAAGTGAAATCTCCCGCAGCAAGATTAAACATGTGAGAGGTTGATCGTGCAGAGAATCGCTGAGCTTATGTGAGTGCGTGTGTAAAACCAGCAGGATATATATTTTAGTTCTGCTGAGCCAAATAAGACAGGTCAGGGTGAAGAAGTGACAGCCAAAGAAAAGCTTACCACAAAACGGAGCAGTTATGACAAATGAGACTATAAGGCAAAAAAGTGTAGCTTTATGGTTTCATGGACAAAATAATTTCTGTGGCTGCAATATGACGAGCTAAATAACCAGGGCTGCACATAAGTGGTCCGCAGGTGCGCATTCTCTGTCAAAATAAAAAACACGCACAAGGGTTAGGGTTAAATTTAAAAACTGTACTTTTGAGTTAAAATATATATTTATAATTTTAATAAATGACAAATTAAAAAGGCATGAACATTTTTTTTGTATCGAAAAAATATCGAACCGTGACACCAAAGTATCGAACCGAACCGAACCGTGAATTTTGTGTATCGTTGCACCCCTAATATATATGTATGTATATATATATATATATATATATATATATATATATATATATATATATATGTGTGTGTGTGTGTGTGTGTGTGTGTGTGTGTGTGTGTATATATATATATGTGTATATATGTGTGTATATATATATATATATATATATATATATATATATATATATATATATATATATATATGTGTATATGTGTGTATATATATGTGTATATATATATATATATATATATATATATATATATATATATGTGTATATATGTGTATATATATATATATATATATATATATATATGTGCATATATGTGTATATATATATATATATATGTGCATATATGTGTATATATATATATATGTGTATATATGTGTATATATACATGTGTGTGTGT